CTCGATGTAATGCTGATATACACCAATCAGAAGCTGGACACACTGAAGAAAAACTGTTTCTTATACAGTGAGGTGTGTGTGCGTGTGTGTACTCATAAGCTAATTGTGTAATTGTAAAGCCACTGGACTTTCTGCACACACACACACACAAAAACAAGCCCCCAGCTTTATTACCACAGGCCAGATTTATTCACAGCCCTTTTTTCTTTTTGATTAAAAACGTCTCCTCCACATGTTGATTTATGAGCACAAGAGCGAGCGCGAGGGAGGCGGTGAGGATGACATCATGCAGTTGGCAACCTCTCGCAGAGGTGACACACACACCCGCTTTGTGTCTGTGTCGAAATAAAAGCCTGTGTGCGTGTGGTTCAGCTGAACGAAAAAAAACCACACGGTCCACCTGCATGCGGCCGCACGTCACCTTAAACAGCGGCTTATGGGAACGACAATCATTTAACGTCAATACGCAATCCAAATTTACGTTCGTAATTGATGCATGAGTGAAATAAAGAAAAACAGTAAAGAAATTGATTAATATATCAGTGTTGGGTGCGACTACCCAGATAGCAAACTGACATTGAATCAACGTGAAAATATGACATCGAAAACAACGTTGATCTGACATTGTTTTGCTCATCGAATTAACGGTGAACCAACGTCAGACGCGTCATTCTTTCAAAACTAACGGAAAATCAACTTGAAATCAACGCGTTGTTTCAACGTTATGAAAGCAAACCAATTTTCGATTTTCATTTAGCTTTGAAGAATGCCGCGTCTGACGTTGGTTCAACGTTAATTCGATGAGCAAAATCAACGTTGTTTCGATGTCATGAGAGACGTCGTTTTCACGTTGATTCAATGTCAGTTTCCGTAATTGATGCATGAGTGAAATGAGATATTAACAAGAAAAACAGTAAAGAAATTGATTGGGTGCGGCTAACTACTGGCAATGCTACTAGCTTAACTACGCTGTAAAACGTCGCAAATTCAAATTTCAGTTTAATTTGATTGCTACTTTTACTAGCAATTTCTGCTAGTTTTTTCAGCGTACATATACACACGATGTATTCCCAATTAGAAGTGGTGTATCATAAAAAACACGCTACGCTGTTTTTAAGTCACGTTGTATTGCGCACGTAGCTTTAGCATCATGCTAGCTGATCCAACAATCAAAACTGCTATCCTAAACTCTCATTAAGAAATCCAATTAATTTTATTAATAGTGAATCACAAAAATAGTTCATGTAATTGAATTGGTTAAAAAAAACGTCCTATTTTTGTAACTTTGTGAAAATGTCGCTAACTCTTAAATTTTAACATTTAAGTGCCAACTCGTTACCAAAATAAGTAGCTTGGCCGTTCCTAAACTTTTGTACGAAGCATTTGAAGGGTCTAATGGTGAATAGCTAAAACAGTTCATTTAAATGAATCAGTAATTTTAATTGTAACTTAAACATGTAAGTGCTAACGTCTTTTCCAAAATAGCATACCAACGCGTACCAACTTTCAATTTGCAATAAACTTCACAAGCTTCTCCAACACTGAAAATGACAAGAGAACAACAACAAAATGTCCCCCGTTCAGCCGGCTGTGCCGCACGACAACCTGTCAAGACAGTAATTAGCGATCAGAGCCTGTGAGAGCACGGCAGACGGCATCGCAGCCAATCAGACGGCGCCGTGCCGAGGGCTTGGGTGGCTGGGGGGTTTGAGGGGGGATGGAGTGATTAGTGCTCTGGGACCATGTGCACTGCCTAGTAAACATCTGAATCAAAGCGACCCACACACAGACTCAAGACAAACACCAGGAGCAATTTTGAGGGTGTCACCATTAAAAAACAAAGACTGATAGTGAGTGATTACATCCCCTACGATTATAAAAAGAAAGGCATTGCATAGTACTACACTGAGCATAAACGGACGACAAATGGAGGCTAATGAACAGATCTCAATAACGTCTCAAACTGTCGATACATTCTTCTGAATATTCACTATTAAAGCCCTCTTGAAATCCAACTTTAAGTTTTTTAGCTTTTAGTATGAATATGTTAGCCTTAAGGTTATGAATAACCTGCTGTGTAAAATTTACATTTAGGAAATATAAGCATTCAAAATTTAAGGGCCGTACACACCGGGACGAATATTGGCGCACGTTATTCGCTAGCGTTTTTCACACCCAAGCGATTTTCGCTGACGATGAGTCGAGTGAACATGCAAATCCATTCCCTGACATTAGATGGCGCCCATTTGCTCTGCAATACCACTCCATAACTGTTCTCTTTTATCAAGATTTTTGTAGTCGCTGTTGCGTTTGTCGTATACTTCATGTTCCGACACCAGCAGCTCTACATTCATCTTGCCTCGCATCTTCCTCGTCTTATTTGGTAGACGGCGACGCTACTTGGCGTAGATCGTCTTCGCCGTTACGCATGTGTGCTCGGCAAGACCGTTTTGTGTTTGAGCGCCCCCACGTTGTGTTTTACTGTAACTTCAGACGCTCCAAACATGTGAGCAAAAGCGCCAATCTCGTTGGTCGGATAGTTTTTGATGCGCCACATCAAACTAAAAAAAGTTTTTCCTAAACTAAAAAGAAAACCGTTTTCCGCGTCGGTGTGCACACTCACATTGGCGCCCTTTGTTTAGTCACGAGGCGTTAAACGTCGGCCCGGTGTGAACAGGCCTTTAGTCTCTTCCACTAAAATGGATCACGGGTTTTAATAACATCATCGCTAGGCCTGTTGGAACGAATTCCGAAATTCGAATAAAATTCGAATATCATAAAAATCAATACTATTCGAATGCTGAAGTTACTGTTCGAATATTGATTTTTTATGTATATTTTTAAATTTTATTTTATATGCAATCTTGCCTTTTTCGCCGCCTTGGCTTACACGCATGTGAAAATGAAATTGTTTCGTCTGATGAACAATAAAAATTTTGAATCGAAACACAAGTGTGCACGTTATCCACGGTGTATCATCATAACAACTGTCAAAAATGGTAGCCTAAATGTTTAAGCGGCCCCCAAAGGGCCTGTGAAGCAAAAAACGCAAATATCTCAACGGACTCCGTGCGCATCGAGCTTGTTGGAACTGTCTAGTCGAACTGAAAAGAATGATATAAGTGTCCGAATTTTTGGTGGTGTTTTCGCGGAAATATCAGCCGAAAACCATCGGAAGCGCTTCAACCATATTCAGCACGAATAAAATGTGTATTAGATGTCCCTCTAGTGGAACGAACGTATAACAACAACCACATGCTATAGCGGCATTGGCGATCCATAAGCGTGTGTAATGTCGTAAATATTAATAATAGGATACATTTTTGCATTTATTATTTGAATATTTTTCGAAAATTTAATAAAATAATGAATCGAATTTGAATAGTATTGTAGAGGAAGATTGACAGCCCTGATCATCACATCTTCTGTCCAATCAAATGCTCTCTAGAATTGAAAGCTCCGCCCCCTTATGCTATAAACACTACCTGGCCGAAGCGGCTGTTGACAATTCGTTGAGCATTATGGATTGGAGTTGTGTGTTCAGTTGCTCAAACGCTTACGTTTTCCAACTGGACATTGGTTAAGAATGAAAGGATAGAGATTGCAGAAAGGATTGAATGCAGAAACGCATCTGAAGTAAACGTCTCCTTTGAAATGTGAATCTGAATCCAGAATAATCTCACACGTACAAGCAAGCCTGCCGACTTGTAATAGTTCTCACCCTCATTGCATAAAAGTGAAGGCATCAGATGTATGTTGCCTTCTCTTCAGGGCCACCCTACAAAACCAACAAATAGGAGAACAGAACAATGTCGGACACACAAAGACTATCTGACAGCGGCCCATTCTCATGTTATCTCTCAGGCGGCGCTTGAATTACACCTATTTTAGGCTTGAAAGCAGTAGGTGGAGGCTTTACCTCCGCTTTCATCCCGCACTCGCCCCTCTTTACTTCACTTGACTCTTTGTTTTGTTTCCCTAATGCGTCTCTAAACCCATCTTAGGGGAGAAATGGTGCAGAACAAATCCTGACTTCGAGCTTTGGAAATTAAAAGACAGAGCAGGCCCCGATCCGTCTGATGAAGAGATATACACGGGAAAAGAGTCGAAATAATCCGATAAACAGTGATCTCGCGCTTCACGTCTCTACGTGAACGGAGAGAACCTTAAACCCACACAGCGGTTCCTCTTTTATTCTTCAGATGATTATGAAACAACCTCGAAACTGTGATTGTACACTAAAATTATACACTTTTTAAATAAACGATTCGGTGGGTCGTCTGAACAACTTTTGAGGAGGTCCTATATAATTAGCTTGGTTTTGGGGGGTTTTTTTGCCAAAATTTCCTGGTCAACTAGCGGGTTATTGGGCAGCTAGTTAACCAGTTGATCGTGGTTACCCATTCGTAATGTTAAGTTAAAGCTTAAGTTTAGTTTTAACCTTACAAAAGTCATAAACATAAGGCCGTGAACCTAATGCAAGTATATGAATGCAAAAATAGCCTCATTTCTTAGTCTTATTTTGATGGCAAGTCAACTAGTCATAGTTGACCCAAAATGGTCACCCTGAACCAATGGATTTGCCAATAGTGGGCCTACAATGGTTCTACGTCGTTGTTGACCCAAAATGGTCGCCCTGAACCACTGGATCTGCCAATAGTGGGCTTACAATGGTCCTACGTCGTTGTTGACCCAAAATGGTCGCCCTGAACCACTGGATCTGCCAATAGTGGGCTTACAATGGTCCTACGTCGTTGTTGACCCAAAATGGTCGCCCTGAACCACTGGATCTGCCAATAGTGAGCCTATGGTTCTACGTCATTGTTGACCCAAAATGATCGCCCTCAACCACTGGATCTGCCAATAGTGGCTATGTATGGCTATGTAATGGTACTAATTTGATGCAAAATGTCTGTCAAAAATGGAACTATATTAACTTATAGACATTTAAGACCACTGAGACTTGACTTTTAAGCTCAAGTTCATCTTAGTTCGCTTACATAAGGCCAAGGAGCCGGTGAGCAGCGGAGACAGCAGCAGGGCGCTCAGGGAGAGCAGGATGGGCAGGTGGCCGGCTGGCATCGTGTCACAGATGACCTATGACCTTGCTGGAGAGCCGCGGCCCCACAGGCTGGAGACGAGGGGTCAGCACACTGGACGTTTGGCACTCTGGAGGAGACAAAACAGAAGATTCCTGATGAGTATTGGCATTCACGGTCAGACAGACAGCGAGATAAACACCAATGTGTTAACATAGTTTCACCAGTCAACCATCAAAAGTTCATTCACAAGCTTTACCCAAAGACTCCCAATTTCAGTTTTACACAACTCATAATTAGTCAGGCTTTATCACTGGATCTCGTCATTATTTACTTATCCACCAATCTTGTAATTACCAAGCCACTCATCAATATTTCAGACGGCGTCTCTTTGTTTTAGCCAAATTGCGATTAATCCCCTTGTCACCACTCTCTCTTTGCCTCGGGAGTCATCTTGCGGGTTGCTGTGTCTCGCACACAGACGGGGTGGAAACCCGGCAAATGTGCTTGTACACCATTTAATTAAAGATGGCAAGAACATCAGATGGCAAGATGGCAAGAGACGCGCAAACACGTGTAGTTGCTTTCGGAAGCACTCGCTCACGTCGAGAATGAAAGAGATGTTGACATGAGACTCTAAAGAGTGACTGTCTTCAGTAGACGAACCTCCAGGCCTGTGTGACTCAATAAGGGTGTTCAAACAAGTCGGAGTCTAAGCTGGCAGTTTTTTTTAATTTGTGCCCTTCGGGTTCTGGTGGAGTCGAGGAGCTACTAAACGAACCGGCAAACGGCCAAAATTAAATGTCTAAAAAAATTAACTAGAAATAATAGCCAACACAACCAATAAATGCTAAAAGTAAATTAAATTGAAAAACTACTTTTTTACATAGCGAGTGTCAGATTGTGGAAAAAGTCATTTAAAATGAAAAAAAAATAAGGTAAATTAACAAGTGTGTTAAATAATATCAACCAATACGTAAAGATAAATAAAATAAAATAAATAAACAATTAATAAGAAACCAATTTGGACATGATACAGACACAGAGTGCATTCATAATAAAAATATAGACAATATTTCATATAATATGGTATAAGATACAATTATAATAATACTGTTTGAAGTATTATCGCATCAGGCCTATTTGTATACAATGTAATAACTGTAAATGTAATGGAAGTCCCAGACGCTTCATCACTGAAACCCAACAAGTCAAATTTCACCAAAAGCCAAGATATTGACTGTGGGTGCCGACATGACGCACCACAACAGGACCCTCTTGTTCTTTTCCCCAGAGGGCACGTGAGACACTTCAAACTTTAATAAAAAGTCCTTTGTGTCTTCAACACAATAACACAGTCATCACACACACACACACACACACACCACTATTTGTGCTCTTCTAGTGCAGCGTGTTAAGTTTCCAGAGAGGCTGGAAGTCATAATGCGCGAGTGAGGACCTAGTGACAGCTGGCTTGTCAGCTTGGGGTTTCCTGTCAACCTGCATGGCGACACTTGAAATTCCGCCCCACATAAACAATTGAAAGCGTCAGTCGAGGGATTCGATTCTACAGCGCCACAACCAGAGGGCCAAAGCAGGCATGGCATACCCAGACAAAGAGGAGGAATATGTCCATGCTGATTTACAGGCTCCCCTACGCTGGCCCACTCCTAAAGTAGCTCCCATTCCCATGCAACAGGACATTAAAAAGAAACATGGCTGGGACAATAAATCAATGCATCGTGAATCGAGAAATGATTCTGGATCAATTCCAATTTTTTTCGATTCGATTCGATTCTGAGTTTAGTGTTTAACAGCAGAGGGCGCTGCATGATCTAGAAACAGCCGTAATCTGCTGGCTTCAAATGCCTTACACACACCACTTGAACCTTCTATGAATAATCATTTATGAAGTCCGAAAAGGTTGAAGTGAATTACAAGGGTGTTTGCAATGGACTGTTTACATTAATTTCGCATCATAAAAGCATTCTGAGGTGCGAGTACATTTCCAGACTCAGACGAATGCACGAGCGCCAGAAAAACTAGCCTAGAGCGCCCTCTGCTGTTAAAAACCAGTCTACAGTGCCGTCTGCTGTAAAAAACTAGCCTAGAGCGCCGTCTGCTGTTAAAAACTAGCCTTGAGTGCCGTCTGCTGTTAAGAACTAGCCTAGAGCGCCGTCTGCTGTTAAAAACTAGCCTTGAGTGCCGTCTGCTGTTAAAAACTAGCCGAGAGCGCCCTCTGCTGTTAAAAACTAGCCTAGAGCGCCGTCTGCTGTTAAAAACTAGCCTTGAGTGCCGTCTGCTGTTAAAAACTAGCCTAGAACGCCGTCTGCTGTTAAAAATTAGCCTAGAGTGCCCTCTGCTGTTAAAAACTAGCCTAGAGTGCCGTCTGCTGTTAAAAACTAGCCGAGAGCGCCGTCTGCTGTTAAAAACTAGCCTAGAACGCCGTCTGCTGTTAAAAATTAGCCTAGAGTGCCCTCTGCTGTTAAAAACTAGCCTAGAGTGCCGTCTGCTGTTAAAAACTAGCCGAGAGCGCCGTCTGCTGTTAAAAACTAGCCTAGAGCGCCCTCTGCTGCTAAAAACTAGCCTTGAGTGCCCTCTGCTGCTAAAAACTAGCCTTGAGTGCCCTCTGCTGTTCAAAACTAGCCTAGAGCGCCCTCTGCTGCTAAAAACTAGCCTTGAGTGCCGTCTGCTGTTAAAAACTAGCCGAGAGCGCCCTCTGCTGTTAAAAACTAGCCTTGAGTGCCGTCTGCTGTTAAAAACTAGCATAGAGCGCCGTCTGCTGTTAAAAACTAGCCTTGAGTGCCCTCTGCTGTTAAAAACTAGCCGAGAGCGCCCTCTGCTGTTAAAAACTAGCCTTGAGTGCCGTCTGCTGTTAAAAACTAGCCGAGAGCACCGTCTGCTGTTAAAAACTAGCCTTGAGTGCCGTCTGCTGTTAAAAACTAGCATAGAGCGCCCTCTGCTGTTAAAAACTAGCCGAGAGCGCTGTCTGCTGTTAAAAACTAGCCTTGAGTGCCGTCTGCTGTTAAAAACTAGCATAGAGTGCTGTCTGCTGTTAAAAACTAGCCTAGAGCGCCGTCTGCTGTTAAAAACTAGCATAGAGCGCCGTATGCTGTTAAAAACTAACATAGAGCGCCCTCTGCTGTTAAAAACCAGTGTACAGCACCGTTTGCTGTTAAAAAACTAGCCTAGAGCGCCGTCTGCTGTTAAAAACTAGCATAGAGCGCCCTCTGCTGTTAAAAACCAGTCTACAGCGCCGTTTGCTGTTAAAAACTAAGCTGAGAATCGATTCGCGGTGCATTTGGATAAAAATGGAATCGATCCACGAATCGTGATGCATCGATATACTGTCCCAGCCCTAATGGACCGCCTATATTCGCTCCATGATAAAGAAACCGAGTTAGGATTGCTAATAAATGCGACCATAGTTTTGGTGCAGTCTGTAATTCACAACAGAATACAGGCGTTCCTCGGACTGAATGCTCTCGATTCATGTTCCTCACCTTGGCTAGTACCTCAAAGGCTGGGAAAAGAGGCGCATTTCGACCGCACCATCATGCAATATGCACAAGGACCAGTGAGTATGAATTATTGAGCTGTACGGAGAAGAGAATGCAAGGAACTTGTTGGAGAACAACACTACACACACAACAGCACGACCAACTTTTGCGTCATGCCATTGTGTTTTCTAATCTCCAAACTAACGCTAGTGTTTTAAACGTGCAAATAATCCAGATTGTGAGCCAAGGAGATGCCTGCAGAAAACAGCATCGCAACCACTGACGGTCGGTCGAGCATCTTTCTTGCATTTATGCGTCTCAGGTCCTACATATTCAGTTCTACCTCCGGCCAGTGCCAATATGCAATATGCAGTGCCAATTGTTTTTCCTTTTTAATGGAGAGCACCAGCAGTCAGATGTAATCAGGGTTGCGCTCATGACTGGCTGGCTTCCCAATCCTGCACGTTTCAATGCATTATTAATGCTAATACGTTGTATTCAGCACTGAAACGGAAAGATACGGCAACAGACAAGAAAAGAAAAGAGAGAGAAAGATTGAAAGATCTAACGTGGAAATGCTTGCAGAAATAATAGGAGTGTTAAAGTACTCTTCTAGCACATAAAAACATCTTATAAATGAACGTCGCAAAGAGTCGTAAACACTTGGAGCGTCCAAGTACAACCGGCGGCTGCGGTGCCGCATTAAACGCGTTCGCATTAACGTGAGTGATGATTATGAAATCCGCAGTGCTGTTTATCCTCCCGGGAAGTGCTGACAGAGAGACAGAGTTTATGTGCATGTACATGAAGTAGTTTGCAGATTGATGCAAGAATGCAAAAATCTAGTAGCAGGGCACGTCGACGAAGAAACCACCGTGAACACCCATAGAAAGGAAACAGATGCAGCTGTGTAACAACTGGGAGGACGATAGTGTGTGTATGTGTGATTTGTAAAGCTGGATAATCAGAAGGGGAAGCCAGATTGGAGTCCCCAGTGAGTCAGTGTGAGGGAAATGGAAGGAAGAAACCATGGCGAACGTCCAATTAAAACTCCCAATTAAGCGCCCCAGAGAGCGTTCCTCAATATAGAGATCAAACCGCTGATAGCGGCGCAACCGGCCGTGATACAAAGACGTCGCACTACAACTTGTCTGCAATGTTCCCTGTAACCTCTTTAGTCACATTTGACTCAAAAGGACCCAGATATCTTTAGCACAAAGATAACGTGCATTTGAGGCTAATAAAAGCCTAAAAGAGCCCAAAATATAACATACTACAGCTTTTCGGCAATTCTCATGTTGACTAAAAAGAAACAACAGGGAATCTACAAGCATTCGAAGCCAACAAACGTTAGTATGCCCGCAAAGAAAGTTAGTATGATGGGCAATTAACACGCGCATGCATTGAAAGCTAACAAATGCTTATCGCACTTCTACATTAGGTAAAGAGAAAGTGAAATGCTAATTAAGTATTAATGTCACTACGCACCAACCAAAATGAAGTAAAAGATGATTTTTCACCAATTTTGCAATTAGCAAGAAATAAAACGCCAAACCTTCAATGTGCCCCATCCAAACTGAGGAAATTTGTCAATACAGCACTTTCAGAATCCTTAATGTTTGCAAAATTC